TCGGAAAAACAAAACAATTTGATTCGACCTCAATTCTAATATCAGTCGAGATGAAGTTTTATTCGAAATGAAATGTCAATAGTAAACAATTATGACAAATCTGACATGTTACTTGATATCGAACGATATGATAGTTGGGGCCGACTCGTCTATGAATTAAATAAAAACCACGGTTGGGTGACATGCGTGAGAAAAGATTTTATTTGCCGCCATTTCGCCAGTCGTTACATGCGGTTCCTGAACACATCATAGAGAGCTTATAATATGTGTATAGATAAAGCAGTGTATGTAACTCTACATAATTAGGCATTAACACTCGTGTGATGTTTTTGAAACCCACACTCGTATTTCAATGCCTCCCATTATGTAACAGTCACATACACCACTATTATGATATCAAGTGAAGGGACAGACAGGTGTCATGTGAAAGAGAAGTCCTTACCTATTTTTGCCGCCAAAATGTAATATGAGCATTAATTCGTTCCGGTTTGGAAGGGTAAGGGTGCTGGTGTAATAACAGGCACATGGGACTTGTCAACTTATGTCTCAAGGTGACGGGCGCAATGGCAGTGCCCCTCAGATCTTTGCGATTTAAAGGTCTGAGAAGCAACTGTTATGGACAGGCGTGTCTCTTATCACCACACGACATATCCCTCTAATACGGTAAGTTGTGGGTAATTTTCAGGTAAGTTTTTGTACTCAATTTTGTTGACAATTTCTTTTTATTTAAATATTTATATTATTTAATATTCGAGTGTGGTAACCTGAAATATTGTTTAATATTTCACGATGATATATTCGAGTAATTAAATAATAAAAATTGTCACCAAAATTGAGTACAAAAAACTTACCTGAAAATTACTGAATAAAATAAAACCGTTTGTGGAATTGCATCTATTTGCCAAATTTTATTAGAAATAGGTTAGCTGAAAGTGGGTGAAGTCCAATAAACTGGATTCATCCCCTAATTAGCCACCCTTAGAGGTGAAATATTTTCTTCAAATTTGTATGGGACCACTACCGAGGTCGAAATAATCACGCAACAAACACAAAAATAAATACAAACGAATTGAGAACCTCATGCTTTTTTGAAGTCGGTTAAAAAAAACAGAAAACGTTTTATTTTCCCTCACGTACCTCAATGGGACAGACCAGCGGCGCGCCCCCAACAACACCCAAACAACTATCGTTATCATTCCTTGTGCACATGAAAGAAGTGTGCAACTCGAATATTTCTCCCAGTCGCGTCTTTCGAAGGTCGTTTCGACAGCTGTTGCGATCGACGACCCGCACTTCCGCCTGGAAAATTTTCATTAAGCTCAATTTATATTACGGCGTAAAGGAATAGAAGCGAAATTTCAGCAACGATATTGTAGCGTAATGAATTTTATGTAACGTACAAACTAGATACGAGCCAAAAATCACGTTCCGCGTAATTCTCGCGCATTCGCGAGAATTCACCTGGCGAATCTGCGGGAAACGGCGCGAAGGTAGGCGCGCTGTGACGTCAAACGTCACCGTTACTCGCTCAAGGTTTCGCGATAAGTGCCTACCGCTGTGTGCGCCGAAGTCGGTGCAAGCGCACATACAAGTCTTCCATTTTGAGCCGGGTACTCACTAGCGAGTTGTAACCGTAACCGTGGATTGTATGTAACCAAAAATCATAGTGTGTACGTAGTTCGCGAGCTTGCCGCTAGTAGAACACGTGCGGTTCGTCGTAAGTGACGAAATAATTTTTTGAGTTGTCTTAAAAAACCATAACCCAGTTATAGAATATTGAAATAGCTTGATAATATTTCAGCTATGCGTCGTTAGGGTAAGTTCCGATAAGTCGAACACATTAACTAATTTTAACTGTTTTTGATGAGAATTTGAATGAGAATTTTGTGCTCTATTTTTTTCTATTTAAAACGGATATTTGACTCTTAGCCGCTATTTAGTTAGTAGACGGCAGAGTGAGCCATCTGATTGAAGGCTGTTTCAAGCGTACACACAAGAACCTCGGTACTGTATCAGTCACGTTACAATTACAACTCGCTAATAAGTACCCGACTTAAGAGCATTCGGCTCCGCACGACTGCCCACGGTATCGGGCATCATTATTTTTGCTTAGGTTCTTTCTGAACGCCTGGTGTCATTACTCAGATTTAGTAGGCTATTATAGCGTAGGTGCTTTCGATTTTATATAATAATAATCATATAATATGTTTTATTTTCTCTCACATCACATCAGATAATTTTTATATATACATTTAGGGATACTTCACTTTAACACATAGATATCCCTTTAACTTATTCTAAGCCTTTAACTGCCTATGTGGCCGAACGGTGACCATGCCGGACTGCCACGCAGAGGTCCCAGGTTCGAATCCCGGGTCGGGAGAAATATTTGTATGGCCCACATTTATTTCTCTCGTGAATTTGGGTGTAATTTGTGGTTGTATGTGTGCGTCCGTGGCACCCGCGACACAGGGTTTCCCTAGTGCGAGGCTATGTTGAGTGCGTGCATTGTTCAGTGAGTGTATTTATGTCCCTAAGTGTATGAGCGAAGGCAGTGTGTTTAGTTTTTTGAATAACGTTGTTGTTGAAAACGTTATTGAAATGCCTATAATATGTACAAAAAACGGACCTTCATCAGAATTGAGGCACCCATAACAGGTTCCCTGGGCCACCACGACGAGAAGCATTGTGTGCCCCCCGCAACGCGTTCGCGCGGTAGAGGCAGACATGCAATCCCAACATTCGGTGCTAGATCCATGGGTTTCGACAGAAACAGCAAGGCGATGTCATAGAACAAACTGCCTATAAAAGAGATTGAAATGATTGTCAATGCTATCAGGTTCTTAAGGTTGTTAGAAATTGGAAATGAAAAACATTTTTTAGGATCTAAGCCTTCGAATTAGACTCTTGTAGAAGCGCTAATAAACGCAAATATTATACAAATAAAATAAATAAAAATAATTTACTTCATTATTTTTATAAATAAAAAGGGTCAATTTATCCGAAAAAATCATTTCATTTCCAATTATTGTTAGTGGATTTATTATTCTTGCAATATAAAAAAATCCATAAAGAAAATTTAAGTAATTCAAATAAATTCATTCGGCTGCACATCAAGCTATACATTGACGGATCTTGTACCGTTGCAGTAGAGGTGATATTCGAACAGCTTCATATCTTTCTACATGTTTTGATTATAGTGACCTTCCCTGCCGACCCTTAAGGTATACGCAACGAGTATGTAACCAGAAATAGAGACGAAATAAGGGCCATATATTCCCGGTAACACATTAGCGATACAGCTCTTATAAATATCAACTCTCGTTTGCACTGAAATATAGACAGACCAACTACTGACCTGTGTGTACGTCTCCGTATATTCCAAAAAATATTCTGTATTTATTGTAATAAAGATAATTTATCTAACAATGCCCTGCTGTTCTATTCGGTTGTGTGGGAAAAACAGCAAAACATCTAATTACAAAACAAACGGAATCACATTTCATCGGTAATTAAATATTACATATGTAATTTTGCAATTTTCGTATCCAATCTCTAGCCATCTAGCCAATCGGAACGCAGTTGTCACGGTAATGACATGGTAGAATAGTTTTCAAACAAATTAAATGACATTTCGTCTCTATTTCTGGTTATATACTCGATGGGTATACGAGAAGGGCACTATGACCATCTAACTCAGGACCTAACCCCAGATCAGCCCGTTTGCACGGACTTCATCCGGTTCTCTGTAAGGCTAGTGCCACCTAGATCTAGACCTAGATGCTAGATCCACCCCAGGTGCACGTACAGCACCCTCCCTGTTTTCCAGATAGGTACCGGAGCTGTAGGCACGCTCACTTCCCGTCATTAAGGTTAGTGGCAGTAGAAGTCGCTCCTTGTCAAACAGTTCGTCCAATAAAGTACTGCCACATTACCTATTTGTGCCGTATTGCAAAATGTGAGCATGACTCAGATCTTTGCGATTTAAAGCTCTGAGTGTCACTGCAACTGTTATGGACAGGCGTGTAGCTTACCATCAGGCGCACAACTTGTTCGTCCCGTCACTTGATATTATAAAAAAAGTATATATTTTTAACATTACTTATTACGTAGTCTACTTATGATGATATTCTTTGGTTGCACCCCTTTTGCATATCCCAAATATCTATCCTACCTACCTGGAAGAAATTGCTACATAGCAATAAGACAACCTGTTGAACAATAAAGAATATCACGCATTCATTCATTCATTTGCGTTGTATCATTATTGTGGACAAGCATGTCGATTACCACCAGGTTGTTTGTCCCTTCCATCGAGTATATAACCAGAAATAGAGATGAAATGTCATTTGTTTGAAAACTATTCTGCCATGTCATTACTGTGACAGCTGCGCTCCGATTGGCAAGCCCGAGTTCGAAACCATTGACGGGTGTCGTCAACTGTTTCACTTCAAATCGACCAGTTAACTTGAGCTTTGCTATAATGGACGAAAATTGCAAAATTACATATTTAAAATTTAATTATCGATGAAATGTGATTCCGTTTGTTTTATAAATTAAATGTTTTGCTGTTTTTCCCACACCAGCGAATGGAACAGCCCCCTTATTAGAGACATTATCTTTATTACAATAAACACATTATATTTTTGGAATATACGGAGACGTACACACAGGTCAGTTGTTGACGCTGTACCATTTCAGTTGTCTAATTTGTGATTTCATCGCAAACGAAAGTTGATATTTAAAAGTGATATAAGGCCCATTTGCCTAATGAGTTGCCAGGGATGGATGACCCTTATTTCGTCTCCATTTCTGGTTATATCTTCGATGGTCCTATAAAAAAAAGTATAATGTGCTCTTGACTGTACTTAGTTCATTTTTTTTTTAAATTAAAAATGTTTATTTTCATCAACTTATACATACCCTTCATTTACATACCCTTATTAAAATCCTTGTGAATGACTCTCGATTCCACATCTCTGTCCTGATGCGGATATATCTCCTTATCGGTGTACAAGTCCCAGTTACCAGCGCGCACGAGCAAACGCGGTAGTTCTTCGTTTGGTAGTATGTGCGCTGCTGTTAAAACTACGCTTGAGTGGATGAGCGAGCCTACTCCTTTGTAGAGGATGGCCTCTGGGCCACCTTGGCTGGAAATGAAGGATTCAATAATACGAATTTCAATTTATATATTATTCAAATCACTTTTTTTTTAATTTATTGAATGTCAAATGTCAGATGTCAGACCACCATAATATTCAATTATTTTTGTGGAATTACTCCACTAGTTTGTTATAATTATTGGATTCGAACCAACGTCTTCCAACAAACCGTGCCGCACGCTGTGCCAACTAAACCACGGAACGAACTAACGGACATTACGAATTTTTGTGATTGATGTGATTATTGCAAATCTTTGTTTTTTGGTTTTTAACGACTTTTCGCCGTAGCTCCATCTGTGAGAAATCTATTTCTTCACTCAGCAAGGTAAATAAAGAGAAAGACGACGGGAAGACATTGGTTCGAATCCGGCCGGATCGAAGGAATTTTTTCTAAGTGTTCGATATTTGTATTGATAATTATAAAAAACCATTATAGTGAAGTAATTTCACAAATGATTGTGTTTATGTCAGATATTCTTACCGTTCATTTAATTTTAAATAAAATTAATAAAATAAATTAATTTTACACGCGTATAGTAATCCCTGGCTGCCAAAATTTATCATAGTCTACATTGACTTACAAATAAATGGACGACGGGTCTAATACAAAAACCACGAAAAAAATGTCCCAAGTCAACCTATTTAAACGTAGTGACATGTAAAGGAATATGAAAAAGCTAAAACGTTGAATTTAAACTGTAATGTCATCGCAGTACTGTCTAATTTTGCTTCGCTGTCAGTCGCTGTCGCTGTATACGATTTTAACGCCCTATAAGTTCGGACACTTTTTAGCGCGGACCCGACGTCCATATAATTGTAAGTCAATGGTAGTCTAGCTTCGATTGGATTTTTTCACGTTACCGAGGTTTGGATAAAACTTCGGTATGCAAAAAAAAACTTTATGCTATACACAGAAGCCAAGAATTATTACATAATCCGACAAAATGTATAAAACTCAATTTTGGTCACGTGGTCGAGTAGCCACAGAGTGTCGCCATCTCTGAGCCGGGTCAATGTAGAAAAAACTACCTTTTCTATATCGTCACTGGTCAGGGTTCTTGCGGTGTTGTCGTTGTTGTTTCCGATTTCCATAAGACAAGTGGTTAATTTTTTTACTATGGGATTTAAAAAAATGAATGTTAAAAATGAAAAATGCTGTTACACGGTAGAAGAATTTTAAATTTGTTCTACATTTTGTAAATTGTTGTGTTTTATATTTTTTAACTGATTGTTTTAAATTGTTCATTTTGACCATTGACTTACAAATAAATGGACGACGGGTCTAATACAAAAACCACGAAAAAAATGTCCCAAGTCAACCTATTCGAAATTTAAATTGTTATGTCATCGCAGTATCGCGCTGTCCGTAGAACAAATGAAGACTAAAGCGGAGTGTCGCGCTCTGTATACGATTTTAGCGCCTTACAAGTGCGGACACTTTTTAGCGCGGACCCGACGTCCATATAATTGTAAGTCAATGATTTTGACTCATTAATTTTATGTACTTCTGTCCTGAAATTTTACTTTTATTAATACACTATTTCTAGTAATTCTATTCACTCTGTATTTTAATTAATTTGTATGATTATAAATTTTAAATCCATGAAATTCAAGCACAATTATGTATATTGATTAAATTTAATTAATCACAGCAACGTTTGTGATATTGTCTAATATGATATGTACTTATTATCATCTATTGGTATTATTTAAAACTAGCACACTTGGAATCCATTTACTAACCTATAAACGGTAACCACCCAAGGGAACTCTCCGTAGTTAGCTTCACCATTGGTACCACCGATGGTCTTCATTCCAACCCCATCAGGGTTGCGCCAGCCACAGCCAGGGCGACGAGCCTCAGAATTAGGCATCTGTAAGGAACACACTGATTCAAACTTCACGATATTCACACAATATTTGTTTTAAAATTCGGGTTTTAATCGTGTTTATAATAGTTATTGGTTATGCAAGTCTGCAAAGTTATTATTTGTATTGATACCTGAGCAAAATAAGGGTGCTAAGATTCACACTCACTTCGCTTCTTAGTGGCTTCACTCGTGACAACTTTGCTGACGAGCGAAACACACAACTTTTCACCCCACTATAGCGAGGGTAATGGTAGATGAAAGAAAAACAAATCGGTATAATAAACAAAATTAGTTATCGTTGTCAATTTAGTGTCAACAACAATAAGAATAAAATATACCAACGGATTTATATGACATAAATAATGTACGACAAATCGCGTACTTGAACGTGTCATTATGTGTTTCTTACATCGATAGAAAATTTTTGGTGCACCACAGTCCATCGTCAAGTTCGAATTTTAAAAACCTTTTCCACGCTAGAGTGTGTTTTTCGTGATTTCCAATGAGAAAGAAAGTCTTTCCGAGCTTGTGAGAAAAGTGTGAACGTGACTTGCCTGTCCACTCTCGTTTTTCTTGGAGTCCGTGATTGCACGGGGTATGATGAGATTCTCAGGAGATCGTAGATCGGACAGCGGGCAGCAGACCTTAAGATACGAAGAGCATAAAGTTCTGCGGATACTGCAAAAAAATTAACGTGAAACATAAAATCAAAAAAATCATATTACAAACAAATCCCAATAAGATTGAACTCAAGAACTTAGGCGTTAGGGGGAAGCGGGCAGATTCTTTCTCTTTCATTCTTTCACTAAATTAAATTATAATGAATATTTTTTTCTGCCTAATTGATGACATAAGTAATAAACATTACTAATTTAATCCTTTTTTTTAATTTTAACAAATAATGGGAATTGTCCAATTCTGCCCCACCTGTGGGGTATTTTGATACACCGTTTGGGGCACTAAATGTGTGAATCAACGTAGTGTGCCATTCCTAGTTGCTACGTATTACCAACACTAGGTGATCAAGTGTTCATAAAGAATAACGCTACATGTGCCTCCGCACTTGCTAGATCTAGAGTTCTTTCTAGGGCAGCATTTGAAAAGTGTTCTGTAATGTTGTTTTGGAAGTAGAAATACAGGAGGAAGAGCTGACTGTAGAGCAAAATGTCACTAGTTCATCTCTTTAAAATAACTTGTTGAAACAGTTTTATATTTTTCGTACAAAATAACTAATAGGAGGACTTTGATACATACCAAACTGTGTATAAAACCACTCACTAGTGTATAAAAGTACCCCAAGGCCAGTTTAGAAAACAATATTTATAAAAAACAATCATTACATATTCTCTCAGTAACATCCAATTCTAGTTATTGAAAACACTAGTTTACCCTGTATTAAGACATAAAACACTGTAAAGTGCACAAACTGCAGTGGCAGTATTTGTGTCCCTTATTTTTTTAATCAACGGCTATGAAAACACTTTGTGACCTGTCGATCGAAAACGGCTAACTGGCGAGCTGCATCATCGAATGTCTGTTACTCATACGTACAAAGCCACATTTTAGTATTACCACAGCTAATATTATGTTTGAAGGTGTGGAGATAATGCAGGTGTATGAATGTGCCCACCGCGTCAAACTGCCCCGCTTCCCCCTACTTGAAGGAACCTTTGTCCATTTCCTGGGCCATATTCTCATACAATCTTTTCCTTACCCATTTTTGGTTAAATCACGGATTACAGACAGCGTGTAATGTCCGAGAAAGACTCCAACAGAATGAAAGAAGAAAGAGAACAACATCTAGGTGTTTTAGAAGAGTTGGAAATTATTACATATAACAATAGCAGGATGCATAGTATGATAATGAACAATTGAATATCGCGTCATCGCCATCATTAGTATTTTAAAATTTTAACAATGGTCATACTCAAAATCGAAGTCAAATGAAAATTTATTCCATTATGCCTATCTTTCTTACTTATGCTTAGAGATGGAAAGGTGAGAGCCTGAAGGTCTACTCTCAAAATATACAACCGCAGCTGCGTACGAAATCAAAACGATCCGTGAGCCGTTCGCAGTTCGTTAGCCACAACGCTTTAGTTTTGGGCTTCGGATCCCATAGACAATAACGGACCGATAATGTGAATGGTGAAATAGGTTATTTTACATGCTTGTACAACAATTTAACTGAACAAATGGCGGATTTCTTTAGTGTTGTACCATAATGTATCGAAAAATCATTATCGAGTTGCAAACGTTTAATTAAAGTCGATCAATATTCTATTTGGGAAAAATATAATTTGAGAGTATATTAAAAAAGCGAAAATTTTATAATATTAATCTGACGATCGCTATGCATTTTCAACCTCAAGATTGATATTAGAAAGAAATTTTTCAAAGGTTTCCAAACAGTGTAAGCTTTTTGTATTTATGCATTGGTATAGAATTAATATCAGTGAGTGGTTTAAGTAAATCTTTAAAACAGAAACAGAAACTATATTTAATAACATGTGAGGACCATAGATATATATTATTGGGCCTTAAGGGCTACACTAACAATTTTTGTGGGATATGCTTAATTTCATTAGAATCTATAAGATAGCATTAAAACAAAATCAAACATATTCAAGGAACATTTGGAAACGGGAATAAACGCGTTTACATACGAATAGGTATTTTTCACACAACGCAAGTTTATATATATATATATATATATATAAACTTTCTCATTCTATACACACAAATAAACCTCGAAATACAAGGAAATCTTGAATATATACCAGATTGAAAGTTTGGAAGCCTCTCCTGTAAAATTGTGATTTTATGCTTTGGCCCTTATATGTACATAGGATCCATCGATATGTAACTATAAGTTTCTTTCGTGAAAGATAATAAAGATATTTTTCATTTGTATAGGTAAAATAAATTTACATTTGAAAACGCCTTTTTTTTTTCACTGTGCTTTCCCTGAGAAGAACGACTTACTGCCGTTCTTACGATAAAGAACAATAAGTTGAAATGTTATAAAAAAAATAGGTTGGCTGATTCCGAATGTGTACATTCGGAATCAGCGTAATGAGCTCTACATTATAATTAAAACCTCTAAATTACATCTTAGCTAGATCCTTTAATTACAACAAGCATTAAACCAATAAGTCATAAAATGTGTTCTAGACCACTTAGCACAATCATATAGCAAATATATTTACTTGAATTGATATTCAATTATTTTTATGTGAAATTACTCCACTGGTTTGTTATAATTATTAATACAAAGATCGAACACTCAGAAAAATTTCTTCAATCCGGCCGGATTCGAACAGACGTCTTCTAGCATACCGTGCCAGACGCTATACCAACTAAGCTACGGAATGAACCAGCGGACCTCTCAAATTTTTCTATGTGCTTTGTCATATCCTTGTATTTGGTTTTTACAGCGACGTTTTAGCCATCTATGAGAAATCTATGAAAGAATTTAGTCATCCAGTTAGATACCTTTACAGCTAATAGCCCCGGCTAGAGATGACGCTAATTACTGCATTTAAATTTGCCGGCCGGATTCGATCTTTGTATTAACTAGTATATTTACTGTTAAAATTTAAGTCTCTTTCTACCATCAAGTTATTTCTTAACACAGGAGTAGTAACTCCACATATTGCAGTAACAAGAAGTAAATCTGATTCATAGTTAAGATTTGATTTACTTAATATAGTTTATTAATTAACATGGTTTAGTTATTGCTGATATTATCTGTAATAAGCATTGACTTACAATTATATGGACGTCGGGTCTGCGCTAAAAAGTGTTCGCACTTGTAAGGCGCTAAAATCGTATACAGAGCGCCAAACTCCGCTTTAGTCTTAATTTGTTCTACTGACAGCGCGATACTGCGATGACATTACAATTTAAATTTCGAATAGGTTGACTTGGGACATTTTTTTCGTGGTTTTTGTATTAGACCCGTCGTCCATTTATTTGTAAGTCAATGACATTTCGTCTCTATTTCTGGTTATATACTCGATGGAAGGGACAAACAACGGTGCGCCTGGTGGTAATCGACATGCTCCGCAATAATGATACAACGCAAATGAATGAACGAATGAGTGATATTCTTTATTGTTCAACAGGTGGTCTTATTGCTATGCTCTGCCGAACGGTTACCATGCCGGACTGCCACGCAGATGTCCCAGATTCGATTTCCGGGCCGGGAGAAATATTTGTATAGTCAACATTCATTTCTCTCGTGAGTCTGGGTGCAATTTGTGCATTATTAAAAAAAATTTAAATTTTTTTCACCTCACTAGCTCGGAAAGACTTTCTTTCTCGTTAGAAATCAACGCGCAAAAACGTTTTTCCCACGCTAGCGTGGAACAGGTTTTTGAATTTTGAACTTGACGATGGACTGTGGTGCACCTAACCTTTTCTTTCGTTGAAAAGAAAACATAATAACATCTTCAACTACGCGATTTGTCTTTCATTATTTATGTAATATAAATCCGTTATTATTATTATTGTTGACATTAAATTGACAAAGATGTTACGATGAATAATTATGTTTATTAAAACCGATTTGTTAAGTTCAACTGTTTTTCTTTCATCTGCCATTTTCCTTGCTAATAGTAAGGTGAAAAGTTGTGTGTTTCGCTCGGCAGCAAATTTGTTTTGCGTCTCGTGTCTTGCAGCCCTCGCTACGCTCAGGGTTCTATTTTTGGGATCCTTAGCTTGCTCAGGTTTCATATAAGCACTTGAGTCAAACTATAACTCTGCAGCCTTGCATAACAAATAACTATTTTTACTCGGGCGAATTTGCCTACAGATACCGACAGGGAACAGAGCTCGAGAAGGGAGTGTAGCAGGCTGGTTCAGTTTATACTTAGAATTGCACAAATAATCGCACGTTGTTGTCAAATGGACATCTAGGAGTTCTGGACAAAACTTTCAAATTGAATACACGTATAAAGTTTTATTTTAACTGCCTCCGTAGCCACGCAGAGGTCCCAGGTTCGATTCCCGGGCCGGGAGAAATAGTTGTATGACCTACAATTATTTCTCTCGTGAGTTTGGGTGTAATTTGTGGTTGTCTATGTGTGTGTCTATGGCACCCGCGACACAGGGCTTCCCTAGTTCGGGGCTATGTTGAGTGTGTGCGTTATTATTTATTTATTTATTTATGAATATAATCCCCGTTTCTCATTGAAAAGTGCCTCTCGCTACGCTAACCCACGTCCCTTACAAGTGGTGGAGGCGCCTTAAGATAGATGCTAACATAGAAGGACAGGAAGAGATGGATTACTTGGATGAATACGACTTATTTTATTTTGATTTCATGAATATATTAACCTGTATATGTGTATGGTTGTTGGTCATTCCTCCAGATGAACAAGAACTATCTGCTTTCAATGGAAATGTAAGGCTCAAGGTAATTATAAACTAGCGTAGTAAATTCACAAAAAATAATTGAATGTCATGGTGGTCAAACATTCTGAGATTTAATAAAACCTTGAAAACAAGCTCTGTTTATGTTAGATTTTTTTACCGTGCAGTTAATTATAAATAAAATTAATAAAATAAGATGATTTTATACGCATGTAATAATATCTCGCTACCAAAAGTTATCATAATAGCTAATCATAGCATCGATTGGATTTTTTCACGTTACCGAGGTTTAGACAAAACTTCGGTATGTTACAAAAGCTTAATAAAGAAAAAAAGTTTATGCTATATACAGAAGCCAAGAATGAATGAATGCATAATCGGACGAAATCTAATTACAATTAAAAGCGACATCTCTGGGCAGCTGCTGGTAACTGTCAAGGTGTTTAGCTGGGTGAAGAAATACTTTCATAGATTTCTCACAGAAGGCGCTAGGCAAAAAAAATCGTAAAAACCAAAAACAAGAATCCGACAACAAACACATAGAAAAAGACATCCGCTAGTTCGTTCCATGGCTTAGTTGGCAAAGAGTCGGCACGGTTTGTTAGAAGACGTCGGTTCCTACGGAATTTTTTCTAAGTGTTAGAATTTGCATTAATAAAATTTAATTTAATTTTAAATCAAATTCAATTTGTTAACTACTCACCTGAGCTCGATCATACCAGCTTCATCTTTTGAGACAACGTCGATTCCGTTACAAAGGTTGTAAAACACGCATTTGCCTTGTTCATTATTAACAGTCCTGCAGGAGTCATTTTTGGGCACTGAGTAAACAAAAGAACAATGTTAACGGATTATATTGATTTTAAATCGCCAAGAGTGGTATAGAATTGTCTATGATAAATTCATCGAGTATATAACCAAAAATAGAGACGAAATAAAGGCCATCTATCCCTGGCAACTCAACAGGCGAATGGACCTTATATCACTTTTAAATATCAACTCCCGTTTACACTGAAATCAGAAATTAGAAATCTGAACTGACCTGTGCGTACGTTTCCGTATACTGATTCTAAAAATATTCTGTATTTATTGTAATAAAGATAATATCTCTAACTATGGGGGCTGTTCCATTCGGTGGTGTGGGAAAAAACAGCAAAACATCTAATTACAAAACAAACGGACTCACGTTTCATCGCTAATTAAATATTAAATATGTAATTTTTCAATTTTCGTCCATAATAACAAAGCTCAAGTTAAACTGGTCCTTTTGAAGTGAAACAATTGACGACACCCGGCAATTGTTTCGAATTCGGGCTGGCCAATTGGAGCGCACTTGTCACCATAATGATGTGGCAGAATAGTTTTCAAAGTAAATGAAATTTCGTCTCTATTTTTTCTGGTTATATACTAAATAACGGAACCAAGAAGTCGTGCACCTGGTGGTAAGCGACACGTCTATACATTACAGTTGCAGTGCGAATCAAAGCTTTGAGTCGCAGAAGTCTTCTTTGGGCCACTGCCGCTGCGCCTGTCACCCTGAGACATAAGTTGACAAGTCCCAGTAATGTTCACATGTCATCGGACCTACTTAGTATGAGCGTTTGCCCGTTACTCTCAGACTTGAACCGTCTGATGAAATATTTAGGAGCCGGCTGAAAGATCTTTTATTGAAAACTCCTTTATACTCTGTAAATGAATTTATGGACTTAAAATTGTAACGATATTAAGTATTTTCTATTTTATTCTAATTTTTGCCGCATTGACACACTCTTGTATAATTGTTATCAACTTATGACGATCCTTATCTAATGGAGAATGCTGACCTTCTAACTAAGAGTGCAGGAACTAAGTCCTGTTTTCGAGAAAAACGTGGTTAAAGAAAAAAATTTAAAATTGACTGTAGCTTCAAAACCACGCAAGTTACAGCGACATGGCATATATCAATAGAAAGGTAAAAGAATGAAGAATTGTAAGGTGATATATTTATATATGTATCATAAGGTTATGTATGATAATATTTCAAAAGTATACTTATGTTTAGTAAGCGCTCTAGTAACACAACTGATCCTCCTAACCATAACGGCAGTAAGTACCTTAGCTAATTAATCTAGAAAGTACATATTCAAAAACAAATTAATAATAATATATGTAGGTAATAAATAACTGCAGTATCTATTACGTTACTGCAGTTTTTGCTAAAAATACACTTCATATTGATACTATTTTCTAATGTTTTGTACAGTCGAAACTCCCAATCTGTTAACATTTTCTTACTAAACATCGACGTAAAGTTGCAGTATGCTGCATGAGGTTTTTGAGAGTATCGATGGTCTAATTCCCTCCCTTCACTTTTTCTTTCCTCTTTACTCGCTTCCTTCCCTTCTCTAGTGTTAGCAACTGAGTAATGCCACTGGTATTACAAGCGTACATGATAGGCTACGGGTAAGAATTCGAGTCCCACTCTTTATTATATACACAACTGCTTATTCAAGGAATAAATTTCTATTTCTATTTCCCGAGTTGGACAAAGTGTTAATTGGATTGGGAATATATAGAGATGAGAAAACATAGTATTTTATGTAGATATATTAATTTCGTACATTTATAATCTCAGTACAGAGTACTAAAAAAAACGACCTCAAAAGTACGTGGAATTACGTCTATTTGCTAAGTTTTATTGAAATATCCCCTAGTTCGCCACTATACATGACTTGACACTGGAGATAATAAAAATCGGTTCTCACTACTCAAAGTATATTGAGAGAAAAACACCTTGAATTGGAGAAATAGCAAAATCAACCATTAAAA